CCAAGGATCAGATCTTTTGAAACAGCTGGCTCAAAAGATTTGGTCGCTCCGTCGTCGTCGTCGTCGTCCGTCGTCGTCGCCGTCGCCGCCCAAGACATCACCAAGGACCAAATCTTTTGAAACAGCTGGTTCAAAAGATTTGGTCGCTCCGTCGTCGTCGTCAGTCGTCCGTCGTCCGTTGTCGTCGTTGTCGTCTTCGTCGTCGTCGTCGTCGCCGTCGTTGTCGTTGTCGTCGCTGCTGCCGAAAACACCACCAAGCGCCAAATCTTTTGAAACAGCTGGTTCAAAAGATTTGGTCGCTCCGTCGTCGTCGTCGTCGTCGTCGTAGTCGTCGTCGTCCGTCGTCGTCGTCGCCGCCGAAGACATCACCAAGGACCAAATCTTTTGACACAGTTGGTTCAAATGATTTGGTCGCTCCGTCGTCGTGGTCGTCGTCGTCCGTCGTCGTCGCCGTCGTCGGAGCCGTCGGGGTCGGGGTCGGAGTCGGAGTCGGCGCCGGAGTCGCCGTAGTCCGTCGTCGCCGTCGTCGTCGTCGGAGTCGTCGTCGGAGTCGTCGTCGTCGCCGTCGCCGTCGTCGTCGTCGTCGTCGTTGTCGTCGTCGTCGTTTCATCGTCGGACTTCGAATTTAGTGGTGTCGTGGTCTTCGCCGTTGTCGTTCTTGTTTTAGCGGTCGTCGTCGTGGTCGTCGCCGCGGGCGGGCGGGCGGGCGGGCGAGGAGGCGGAGGAGGACGAGGAGGAGGAGGAGGAACAGGAGGACGAGGAGGAAGAGGACGAGGAGGAGGAGGAGGACAGGAGCAGGACAGGAGGAGGATTAGGATTGCCCTGCTTACGGTTTCCCCGGGCCGCGCGTTCCGGGAATCCCTGGGTCGTCGCTCGCGCGTTCCTGGGCTCGCGCCTTCCGCGTTTCCTGGGCTCGCGCCTCCCGTTTCCTGGGTTCGCGCCCCTCGTTTCCCCGGGTCGTCTTCCATCCGCATGGGGCTAGGGCGGGCGGGCGAAGCCACGCGCAGCTTCCTGGGCTGCGGCAGGGCTGAGAGGTTGGATGTGCGGATGACGTTCAGGACGTAGCGCTGATGTCGGTCCTATGCTAAGGCCCATGGGGTAGGCCGCAGGGCTCGCGCATCCGCGGCGCGGGCAGGACCCTCCATGCTCTTCGGTCTCGATGTCAAGGTGCGGCCATCCGCAACCGCGTCCCCCTGGATGATGGTGGCGCGAAAGGAATCGCTCTCGCATGTTCCTAGGAGAGAGTTTGGCGGTTGTTGGGCATCAGAGCGGGGTATGTGCGCGCGTGCGTGCGTGCGTGTGTGCATGTGTGCGTGCGTCCTACCGAGGGCCGCGCAAAAATTGGCATGCGCGTCTGCGCTGCCGAAAGCGAGTTAAGAGGCCCGCGTTGTCAGCAATAGGAGAGTCGCCATGTTGGCTTGGAAAATCAAAGTGAACCTTCAGCGTCGCCAGTCAGATTTCCAAGTTAGCATGGGCTCTGGCGCATGTGTTCAGCAACGGCGCATGCAACCACTTCTCGCGCGCGCCTGCGCCGCCGCGCGCGCGGCGGCGCAGGGGCGTGGGGCGCTCAGTGTTATCAGCAGTAGGAGAAGCGCCATGTTGGCCTGGGGAATCAAAGTGGACCACTAGCGGTTGCCGATTGGATTTCCAAGTCAACATGGGATCTGGTGTACGTGTCTTGCAACTGCGTATACAACAACCCCTCGCGCGGCGGCGCGTGCGCGTGGGGCGCACCGCGTTATCAGCAATAGAGCAGTTGCCATGTTGGCCTGGGAAATCAAAGTGAACCCTTAGTGGTTGCCGATTGGATTTCGAAGTTAACATGGGTTTTGGTGCATGTGTTCTACAACAGCGCAGACAAACACTCCTCGCGCGCGCCTGCGCCGCCGCGCGCGCGGCGGCGTGTGCGCGTGCGGAGCTTCGCGTTATCGGCAATAGAAGAGTCGCCGTGTTGGCCTGGAAAATCAAAGTGAACCCTTAGCGGTTGCCACTTGGATTTCCAAGTTAACATGGTTTCTGGCGCATGTCTTCTTCAACAGCGCGCGCAAAACTTCTCGCGCGTTCCTGCGCCGCCGCGCGCGCGGCGGCGCGCGCGCGCGCGAAACGCCGCAGCGCCAGCAATAGGACAGTTGCCGCGTTGGCTGGGGAATTCAAAGGGAGCCCCTGGAAGTGGGCAGTTTGATTTCCAAGTTAACATGGGTTTTGGTGCATGCGTTCTGCAGCGGCGCATGCAAACACTTCTCGCGCGCGCTGCGGCGCAGGGGCGTGGGGCGCTCAGTGTTATCAGCAGTAGAAAGAAGCGCCATGTTGGCCTGGAGAATCAAAGTGGACCACTAGCGGTTGCCGATTGGATTTCCAAGTCAACATGGGTTCTGGTGTACGTGTCTTGCAACGGCGTATACAACAACCCCTCGCGCGCGCGGCGGCGCGTGCGCGTGGGGCGCCCCGCGTTATCAGCAATAGAAAAGTTGCCATGTTGGCCTGGGAAATCAAAGTGAACACTGAGTGGTTGCCGATTGGATTTCGAAGTTAATATGGGTTTTGGTGCATGTGTTCTACACCAGCGCAGACAAACATTCCTCGCGCGCGCCTGCGCCGCCGCGCGCGCGGCGGCGTGTGCGCGTGCGGGGCTTCGCGCTATCGGCACTAGAAGAGTCGCCATGTTGGCCTGGAAAGTCAAAGTGAACCCTTAGCGGTTGCCACTTGGATTTCCAAGTTAACATGGTTTCTGGTGCATGTCTTCTGCAACATCGCGCGCAAAACTTCCCGCGCGCTCCTGCGCCGCCGCGCGCGCGGCGGCGCGCGCGCGCGAGAAACGCCGCAGCGCCAGCAATAGGACAGTTGCCGCGTTGACTGGGGAATTCAAAGGGGGCCCTTGGAAGTGGGCAGTTTGATTTCCAAGTTAACATGGGTTTTGGTGCATGTGTTCTGCAGCGGCGCATGCAAACACTTCTCGCGCGCGCCTGCGCCGCCGCGCGCGCGGCGGCGCCGCCGCGCGCGCGGCGGCGCAGGGGCGTGGGGCGCTCAGTGTTATCAGCAGTAGAAGAAGCGCCATGTTGGCCTGGAGAATCAAAGTGGACCACTAGCGGTTGCCGATTGGATTTCCAAGTCAACATGGGTTCTGGTGTACGTGTCTTGCAACGGCGTATACAACAACCCCTCGCGCGCGCCCGCGCCGCCGCGCGCGCGGCGGCGCGTGCGCGTGGGGCGCCCCGCGTTATCAGCAATAGAAAAGTTGCCATGTTGGCTTGGGAAATCAAAGTGAACCCTTAGTGGTTCCCGATTGGATTTCGAAGTTAACATGGGTTTTGGTGCATGTGTTCTACAACAGCGCAGACAAACACTCCTCGCGCGCGCCTGCGCCGCCGCGCGCGCGGCGGCGTGTGCGCGTGCGGAGCTTCGCGTTATTGGCAATAGAAGAGTCGCCATGTTGGCCTGGAACACATGCACCAAAACCCATGAGTTGCGCCGCTGCAAAACCCAAAGTTGTTGGGGGCGCCGCGGGATTGGGGCGAGAGCTCGCGCGCGTGCATGAGTGCCAGGGCGTGAGACGTGGCGCTGAGGCCCACTGCTAGAGCCCTAAGCTGGCCGCAGGCCTCGCGCGTCCGCGGCGTGGGCAGGACCCTCCATGTTCTTCGGTCTCGGTGTCAATGTGTCGCCTCCAGCAGCCGCGCGCTCATGGATGACGGCGGCGCGGAGACGCACACCCTCGCATGTTCTTGTTTTGGGGCAACAGCAGCCTGGAGCTGGGCCTAGGGTGGCGGGGGCCAGGCCGCGCGGCCGCGGCCTTGAGTCTGGGGCGAGCAGGCGAGGTCGCGCGAGGCTCCCTGGGGCGCCGCGGGGTTGGGGCGAGAGCTCGCGCGCGTGCATGAGTGCCAGGGCGTGAGGCGTGGCGCTGAGGCCCACTGCTAGAGCCCGACTAAGCTGGTCGCAGGCCTCGCGCGTCCGCGGCGCGGGCAAGACCCTCCATGTTCTTCGGTCTCGATGTCAACGTGCTGCCTCCAGCAACCGCGCGCTCGTGGATGACGACGGACGCGCGGAGGCAGATCCAGGGCACAGGAACACAGCGTGGGTCTCGGGGGGCGGGGGGGGGGTCAGGGCTTCGGGGTTGCGTGGTCCAGGCTGTGCAGTCGAAGGCTTTAGGCTGGGGGCTGAACCAGATGCGTACTTACGCACGTTGGCTCGGAAGTGAAGGTCGGGGACACCTCGGAAGGGCGTCCTCGACGTCCTTATGGTTTGGGGTACTTTGGCCCGCGGAGGGTCTCATGTTCTTGTCCGATGTTCTTGTGGCCTTGTTCCGGCCGTAATTGGATGGGCGCGGCGGGGTCTCGCCTGGTGGGCGCCCACCGGCGTTTTGCGGGCGTTTCGTGCGGTGGGTGGGTGCGGCGGCGGGGGCTCGCATGGTGGGCGCCTCGTGCGCGCGCTGGTTGGATACGGCGGGAGTTCGCTTGGCTGGCGCCTCGTGGACGTCTCGTGCGTAGGGTGGGTACGGCAGGGGTTCGCCTGACTGGCGCCCGCTTACACCGGCTGGATGATGGCGTCATGTAGCTCGCACCACATATATTGCACCACGTAGTTCGCACTTCATAGTTAACGCCACATTATGAGGGCCATGCCCCTTGCTGGCCACATGAGCTACAAGAAAGAATGGCCGTAAAGGGACCGAGGATGGGAACCGATCGATTCGCCCGAGGACGAGGTGGAAGGATGAGGGAGGGGGGCCGGGCGACTCATCCCAGGACCCAGGGCGAGGAGGGAGGGGGATAGAAGGACGACGAGGGAGGGGGGAGGGGATCGAACGAGTCCCAGAGGTTGAGGAGGGCATTCGGCCCCCTCTCCTCCTACGCCTCGTCATCAGGGAGTCGTTCGTTTCCCACCCTCCTCATTTTTTGTCGTCGGGGGAGTCGCTCGGTTCCGTCTCCTCTTCCCTCGTCTTCAAACGGCCTGCGGGCGGGGCGGCGGGTGGGGCGTCGTCAGGGCGCGGATTTGGCCACCGCCAGGACGGCGCGGCCGAGGGCGGCGGCGCGGCCGAGGACGACGGCCATGAAGACGACGACCCGTGGGCTGAGGGCGAGAGTGGCCACGGCGATGACATGGGCGCCGCAATCATGCCACATGTAGATTTTTTGCTAGCCGTCGCCGAAGAGGAAATGCCGATGTTCCCAGTCGCAGCCGCGCCCGAGCCTCCCATAGCAGTCCCGCCAGAGCCCGGTGCGCCAGCGTCGCCAGAGCCCGGGGCGCCAGCGTCGCCAGTGCCTCCACCACCTCCACCACCTGAGCCCCCAGCACCACTTGCGGGGCCGCCGCTGCCCCCCGAGCCGCCCGTCGCAAAAGCGAAAGCGGCAGCGAAGGGGAAGGCGAAAGCGGCGAAGGGTGACCGTGCATGGGATTGGGGGCATTTTAAGATGGCCCGCGTTTATAGTGACGACGTTCAAATCGGGTTTGGCTGCGCATGCGGCAAGCACACCATGATGCCCGGCCATAAGCCGAAGACTCCTTGCAAAAAACAAATGACATTCGGCAAGGAAGGCTTCAGCGAAGATTTTTGCATCCGCAAGTTGAAAGCCTGGGCCGTTCGCGGCTTGTCGATCCCGTTCAATGAAATGCTAGCCAGGGCACAGCACGTCGACCCGGATATCCGGAATGACATTGACCCCGGCACTCACGAGCAGTTGGAGCGCGAATTGGAGGCTGCGCTCCAAAAGTTGAAGGACGACGGAGTCGACCTTCCCGCCTGACTTCGGCTGGCAACCCCTTGATCGCAGCTTTCAGTGCAGTGTTTGGTTGTTGCGTCTCCTTTGTGATGTGTTGCGGCGTTGACTGCGCGGCGGTCGACCAACCCAGTTCGGTTTGACCGAGCGGGCGCCTTTGCTGCTAGGTCTTTCCGGAAAGCGACGTGCAGCCATTGGGCAAGGGTTAAGACAAGGACCTGGGGATACAGTGACAATCGTCGATTGCACTTCGAAACACGACGTCGGTCATTAGATTTTTGCGCTTTGCGCGCCCCCGCCGGGTCGTCCATCTGTCATTGCTTCTATGTCGGGCTTGTCTGAGTGCAGATGAGGGGCTCCTGAGGGCCGTTTTGGGGCTCCTCGGGGTCTTTCTGAGGCCTCTTTGGGGCCTCTTGGAGCCTCCATGGAACCTCCTGGGGGCATCCTGGGACCTCTTGGGGCCGTCTCAGGGCGTCCTGGGGCTCTCTCGGAGGGGGGGGGGGCTTGGTCGCCTTCTTGGGCCGCTCTTGGAGCGTCTTGGGGCCCCCATTGGGTTGTCTTGGGGCCCTCTTGGGTTGTCTTGGGGGCCTCTTGGGCCGTCTTGGGGCCCTCTTGGGCAATCTTCGGGCCGTCTTGGGGGCCTCTTGGGCTGTCTTGGGGCGATCTTGGGAGCCTCTTGGGTCGTCTCGGAGCGTCGGGAAGCCGAAAAGGCGAGGAGGCAAAAAACATCGAACTCATTATGGAAAATTAATGATTCTAGCCTCTCTGGGCCCTCTTGGGAGGCCTCTTGGAGGCTTCTTGGGGCGTCTCGGAGGCCTCTTGGCCCGTCTGGGGCCATCTTGAGCGTCTTGGAGCATCTTGGAGCGATCTTTCGGCCAATCGGGGCCCTTTCGGAGCGTCTTGGTGGACTTTTGGAGCCCTCTTGGAGGCTCCGGGGGCCCCCGGGGTGCGTTGGCGAGCTCCACCTCCCCCTCCCTTCCCCAGGCCCCACCCCCTTAGAATGCGATTTTGGGCCCCTGGGGGGGGGGGGGGGGGCAGCCGCATGTCTCACGCGCCTTTTCACCCCCGGCAAGCGGGGGTCGGCGGATGACGGGAAGCGTCTTCGAGATACGAGAAGCAAGCGGGACGTTCTGGCTGAATCCTTGAGTATATATATATATATATATATATATATATATATCTTTAACTATATGGGTTGCGGGGCTGCACGGGATCTTTCGTTGGCGGATTTCCCAAAATGGCCATTTCGCTCGAGACATCCTCCTAAATCGAGGTGTGGTCTGCCGTGCTCCTGTGTGGTCTGCCGTGCTCCTGTGGTCTGCCGTGCTCCCCACAGGAGCACGGCAGACCGCGCGTAGGAACCGAGAGGAGCACGGCAGACCAAGACGAGGAGCACGGCAGACCAGGCTTAGGAACCGAGAGGAGCACGGCAGACCAAGACGAGGAGCACGGCAGACCAGGCACCAAGAGCGCCCTCAAGACGACGGAAAGGATGACCAAGACGAGGAGCACGGCAGACCAAGACGAGGAGCACGGCAGACTATGCCCTAAGAGTGCCCTCAAGACGGCCGAACAACGGCAGACCCCATAGGAGCACGGCAGACCACAGAAGAGCACGGCAGACCAACAGGAGCACGGCAGACCACACAAGAGCACGGCAGGCCACACAGGAGCACGGCAGACCACACAGGAGCACGGCAGACCACAAAGGAGCACGGCAGACCACACAAGAGCACGGCAGACCCCACAAGAGCACGGCAGACCCCACAGGAGCACGGCAGACCCCACAGGAGCACGGCAGAGCAGACCCAAAAGGAGCACGGCAGACCACACAGGAGCAAGGCAAACCACAGGAGCACGGCAGACCACACAGGAGCACGGCAGACCCCACAGTAGCAAGGCAGACCCCAAAGGAGCACGGCAGACCACCGGAGCACGGCAGACCACACAGGAGTACGGCAGACCCCACATGAGCACGGCAAATCCCAAATGAGCACGGCAGACCACAAGAGCACGGCAGACCACACAGGAGCACGGCAGACTCCACAGGAGCACGGCAGACCACAAAGGAGCACGGCAGACCACACAGGAGCCCGGCAGACGCCACAGGAGCACGGCAGACGCCACAGGAGCACGGCGGAACCCACAGGAGCACGGCAGACCGCGCGCGGGTACAACATAAACGCGCCTTTTTGTTGTACCCCGAACGCCGCTGGCGTTTCCCCAACAGGAGCACGGCAGATCTCACAGGCGCGCGGCAGACCCCAAATGAGCACGGCCGACCACAGGAGCACGGCAGACCCCAAATGAGTACGGCAGACCCCAAAAGAGCACCGTAGACGCCTCAGGAGCACGGCTGACCACACAGGAGCACGGCAGACCACACAGGAGCGCGGCAAACCACAAAGGAGCAAGGCAGACCCCAAATGAGCACGGCTGTCCACACGTTCGCACGGCAGACCGCACAGGAGCACGGCAGACCCCACATGAGCACGGCAGACCAAGAAGGAGCACGGCAGACCACACAGGAGCACGGCAGACCACACAGGAGCACGGCAGACCACACAGGACACGGCAGACCCCACGGGAGCACGGCAGACCACACAGGAGCACGGCAAACCACACAAGAGCACGGCAGACCATACAGGAGCACGCCAGACCACACAGGAGCACGGCAGACCACACGTTCGCACGGCAAACTCCACAGGAGCACGGCAGACCCCAAAGAAGCACGGCAGTGGTACGTGGCACTGCTGTGGTATGCCGTACTAAAAACGTGGAATATCTCATAAGCCCAGGGGACAAAAGGACGCTTCCCGTTCTTGTTTGGTCAGGTTTGTTCTACGCCGGGTCTTTGGTTGCTCAGTATTGCGTGCTCTGGTATTGCCGGTTTCGTTTGTTTGCCTTGCCAGTTTTCATCGGAAGCGGCCCGTTATGTTTCCTCTCTCCTCTCTCCTCCTCGTTCCCTATTCTCCGTGCTCGATGTGCGTAGGGTGGGGGCGGGGTACAGAGTGAGGTGCTCTCAAAAGCACTGGCGCAAATCACGTGGCGCAAGCTGTTGGACGATCCAAGATGGCAGCATACAAACATCTCTAATGTACGCGGCCGGAGGTGTAATGACGCTGAGTTGGCGGGAGGTTTGGCCGGGGGCAGGGATTAAACAAGGCCCCTTTGAGAGGGAATTGGAAACGTAGCGGATTCCCCCCATCCCGCCTGCTGGGGGGGGCCCCATAGCCAATAGCTATATTGACACCAAGGGGATACCATTCTTATATGTATATGGACAATATGCTTTCGGTCCTCGATCGTTGATTTTCGATGTTCCTCCATCTTGCACCGCGCGTTCCTTCCTCCATCCTCGTCTTCCGCACTCTCTCTTTCGCCCTGTTCCTAGGACCTCCACCCCCCCGCTTCGCGGCGAAATCACTCGAGCAGGTGGCGAGAGGTGCCGATGGGAGGCGCGCCGCACTGGCCGCGTCACTTCAATGTGTGTGGTGAGCCCTTGCGATGTCCTTTGCACTGCAGGCCTCCTCCCTGCCCTAATTCCCCTCTTTCCCACATCGGTAGTCGGTCTCTACCTGTGAGTTCTGCCCCCCGTTTCGTTGAGTGCCCTTGCAAGCACAGGAGAAGGGTGCCCCGCTTCACGCAGGAGGGTGAGCGCTTCGGCGCCCACCCCCATTTGGGGGCAGTGGCGCGCGTCTTGTCACATGTGTATCGTGCTGATCTCAATCCACTATTTCTACTCATCCTGCTGCTCCTCCCGTTTTTATATGTCCTCGTTCGTCGATCCCTATGGTTTCTCCGATGCCCCCTCCTCCTGGATATGTTTTCGTGCATATATTTTCAAGTTTCTCTCCCTCCTCCTCGTTACTCCGTTATCCATCTTCCATCCTCCTCCGGGTTCCGTCTTCGCTGCCCCGTCGCGTTTCCTCTTCATTGCAGTCTTCCTTTACTTGTGCGCGTCGATCTCAGGACCTAGATCCCCCCTCCGCGATAAGCGATCCCCCGTCCTCCCCCATCGATCCCCGATCGTCCTATTGATCCAGTTCCGCCATCGCCATTTACATTGAAACCCGACGGGCTGGTATCCCCCCAAATTGGGGCGCCGTTCGTCGTGGACCGCTGGCGGTCCTCGCGTGAACTACTTACTTAGGCTTTTGGCTTTGAAAATTGTCGCGGGGCCCTCCCGGCCGCAGGTCGGCCAGATTTCTATTATATTTCCATTTTGCTCAACGGGGGCGCTGTTATGCACAACTGCCACTGGAAGTTGCAATAATGGGCGTGGTGCGACTCGAGGTTGCCCTGCCGTGGCTTGGTGCGGCCGTGCGGCGTGCGCCGCCCTTGCTCTGCACATGATTGCCCGGTGGCAATTTGGCTCCAGGTTCGCGCGCAAGCTCGTGCCATTCTGACTCGGCGGCCGCGCTCGGATGCCCTCTGGCGCTGCTGCGAGGAGGAGCGTGCCCGCTTGGGCGCGGTCCTGGCCGACCTCGAGGAGTTGGCATCCCGAGGCGTGGACGAGGCGGTGAGCGTGTGCTCACTGGCCACGCCCGAGCGCGGTGGAATTCCACTTGAGGACGAGACCTGGACGACCCGTCTTGGCGCCCAGTAGACGAAAGCAAGATCCACAATGTCGTTGCGAGTTGCAGTGAATCTTGCCCGCCAGCGCGAGGCCGAGCATGCTCCGCGATCGGCGTTGGCGCCGGTCGGCGGGCGGGCGCAGCAGCTATGTCCATCAGTTTCTGGCGCGGGCGGATCTCTAGCAGATGGCGGTTGTAGTTCTGATGCAGAGCCGGGCGGCGTGGATGTCGCGCACGCGGGTCGCCGTTACTTGCTCCGGCGGTTGTCTGAGACCGATGTCGCGCCGCCAGACAGCGGTGGCGGCGCGGGCCTCTTGGCTCCGGACACGGCCACGAGCAGCATCCAGTGGTGGAGCAAGCCCATCCTCGATTCGCTCGCCGACAACATCGATTCCTCTCGGGCGACTCGCCGCTTCAACGTGCACAGTGTATGCTCTGGCGTGGGCGCAGAGCTGTTCGCCATCAAGGCCCTGGGCATACAGACTGCGAGAGTGCCCGTGTGCGACATCAAGAAGCACGCCAGGGATTTCATGAGCCAGAACCACGGCGACTTGATCTCGTCCTGCTCCGAGTCGATGGCTGCCTACGTGGGAGCGGTCGCCGGTCGGCCGCCGCCGGATTGTTTGGTCGGCGGCCCGCCGTGCCAGCCGTACACCGAAGCCCGCTCCGGGCGCTTCAGCGACGACCAGGGCCCGGCGACGCATCATCTCTACGATGCCATTTTCGGCATGGACGGCGAGACGCCGGGCGGCAGCTACTTCGAATGCTTGAACAGGACCCGCCCGCTGGGGGCCATCATGGAGCAGGTCAGGGGATTCACTCGGAAGGCCCGCGCGGCGGACCAGAGCGAGTTCGAGCGGTTTCGCAGCATGCTGGAGCGGGAGATTCGCGTCCCGGACGGCGAGTCGAGCAAGCCCCACTTCACAGCAGTCAAGGCCTTCATCGTGAACGCGAACACGTGGCTCGAAATGGACCGCCCGCGCGTGATGGTGATCGTGCTCTCGGACGCCCTCGGCGGGTGGGACGGCATGGGCGAGATCGAGTCGATGATGTCGGAGGTGCTGTCATGCAGGAGCAAGTTCCCGCCCCACTCGGTGAGCGAGCTCTTCCGGCACTGGAGCAGGCCCCAGGCGGATGGCCACGTAATCCAGGAGCTCGGTGGACAGGGGCCCGGCGACGGGGCGCGAGCGATCGGCAAATAGCCCAGAAGAACGCCCGGGCGTTCTTCTGGGCTATTTCTTCCAGATTCCCAGGGGTACCTCTCGGATTTTCCTGAGCGCACGGCGCTTCCAGGGTATTCCCGATGGTCACCCGGTGATGTTTTTGGATGCGGGCCCGGGGAGATCTCCCGGGGCCCCGGGAGTTTTTCCCGGAAAGGGCAAAGGCCCAGGGTTCTCTTTTAGTATGTAAACAATGTCCCCCCGTGCCCAACTTGAAGGAGGCCGGTGGATTCTTTCCCTGATAAATATCGAGGTCGAAGGAGGCCGGCGGATTAAAATTTGAGGATGTCTCCGGCGAAACGTTTGTTTTTGAAATCCCGATCGATAAATCACAGGGTGCGGGCCACTTTTTCGTGCGTTGAGGATGTCTCGAGCGAAACGCTTGCTCCGCAGCACGACCACACCCCAGCACGACCTCACCACAGCACGACCACGCCCCAGCACGATCACGCCCCAGCACGACCACGCCCCAGCACGACCACTCCCCAGCACGACCACCTCCCAGCACGACCGCGACGACGACGACCGCGACGACGACGACGACGACGACGACGACGACGACGACGACTACGAGGGGGATCCGCCCATGGGGCGGCGACAGGCAACCACTCAACCGATGCAGCCACGGACTCCCTGTGTGTTTGATGAGTGGCGCCCGTGCCGTTGCGTGCGTTACGCGTCTCCTCGTGGTTGTCCTGGTTGAGTGGTTGCCTGTCGTTGCTCGCGGTGCCACCCCAGCACGACCTCACCACAGCACGACCACACCCCAGCACGACCACGCCCCAGCACGACCACGCCCCAGCACGACCACGCCCCAGCACGACCACCCCCCAGCACGACCACCCCCCCAGCACGACCACACCCCAGCAAGACCACACCCCAGCACGACCACACCCAGTCGCATCCCCGTGGAATGTTTCGTGGGGTGTCTCGTGGAATGTTTCGTGGGGTGTCTCGTGGAATGTTTCGTGGGGTGTCTCGTGGAATGTTTCGCGGGGTGTCTCGTGGAACGTTTCGCGAGGTGTCTCGTGGAATGTTTCGCGAGGTGTCTCGTGGGATGTTTCGCGGGGTGTCTCGTGGGATGTTTTGTGAGGTGTCGCCCAGTTGGGTATCGTGAAAACGTGACCATGCTGCGCATGTCTATATCCCTTTCCGGGTTCGTGGGTCCATCATGTTTCCCAACTATCCTGTGGTGTTGGGTCTTCGTTTTGAAGAGACGGTGCCCCGCGTTCTCCTTCCTTCCTCCCGCTGCCTCTTCCCCCTTCCCATCATCATCATCATCATCATCATCATCGTCATCATCATCACCATCATGATCACCGCCATCACCATGATCATCATCGACATCATCGACGTCATCATCACCACCACCACCATCATCGTCATCGCCATCACCCAATTCGGCACACCCCTCACACGTTTCGTGGCCCCATAGGGAGCCCCACCGAAGGCCGCAGTGTTGCCGCCCGCATGCGTCACGCACATCCAATTCGGCACACCCCTCACACGTTTCGTGGCCCCATAGGGAGCCCCACCGAAGGCCCCAGTGCTGCCGCCCGCATGCGTCACGCACACCCAATTCGGCACACCCCTCACACGTTTCGTGGCCCCATAGGGAGCTCCACCGAAAGGCCCCAGTGCTGCCGCCCGCATGCGTCACGCCACACCCAATTCGGCACACCCCTCACACGTTTCGTGGCCCCATAGGGAGCTCCACCGAAGGCCCCAGTGCTGCCGCCCGCATGCGTCAGCCACACCCAATTCGGCACACCCCTCACACGTTTCGTGGCCCCATAGGGAGCCCCACCGAAGGCCCCAGTGCTGCCGCCCGCATGCGTCCCGCACACCCAATTCGGCACACCCCTCACAAGTTTCGTGGCCCCATAGGGAGCCCCACCGAAGGCCCCAGTGCTGCCGCCCGCATGCGTCACGCACACCCAATTCGGCACACCCCTCACACGTTTCGTGGCCCCATAGGGAGCCCCAACCGAAGGCCCCAGTGCTGCCGCCCGCATGCGTCACGCACACCCAATTCGGCACACCCCTCACACGTTTCGTGGCCCCATAGGGAGCCCCACCGAAGGCCCCAGTGCTGCCGCCCGCATGCGTCCCGCACACCCAATTCGGCACACCCCTCACAAGTTTCGTGGCCCCATAGGGAGCCCCACCGAAGGCCTCAGTGCTGCCGCCCGCATGCGTCCCGCACACCCAATTCGGCACACCCCTCACACGTTTCGTGGCCCCATAGGAGCTCCGCCGAAGGCCCCAGTGCTGCCGCCAGCATGCGTCACGCACACCCAATTCGGCACACCCCTCACACGTTTCGTGGCCCCATAGGAGCTCCGCCGAAGGCCCCAGTGCTGCCGCCCGCATGCGTCACCCACACCCAATTCGGCACACCCCTCACACGTTTCGTGGCCCCATAGGAGCTCCGCCGAAGGCCCCAGTGCTGCCGCCCGCATGCGTCACCCACACCCAATTCGCACACCCCTCACACGTTTCGTGGCCCCATGGGAGCTCCGCCGAAGGCCCCAGTGCTGCCGCCCGCATGCGTCACCCACACCCAATTCGGCACACCCCTCACACGCTTCGTGGCCCCATAGGGAGCTCCACCGAAGGCCCCAGCGGCCGCGCTCACATGCGTCCCCGCCACCCATCCCGGCACGCCCCTCACAACAACAGGTTTCGTGGCCCCATAGGGAGCTCCACCGAAGGCCCCAGTGGCACCGCCCGCATGCGTCACCACCCGCACCCAATTCGGCACACCCCTCACACGCTTCGTGGCCTCGTAGGGAGCTGCACCGAAGGCCCCAGTAGCGGCGCTCACAGTACACCCCTCGCGCGCTTCGTGGCTCCATAGGGAGCTCCACCGAAGGCCCCAGTAGCGGCGCTTACATGCGTCTCCGCCACCCATCCCGGCACCCCCCCCCTCAGCAGCATAGCATCATGTTTTGGGGACCCATAGGGAGCTCCCTTGGAGGCCCCAGTGGCGGCCCTCACATGCGTTTCCGCCACCCATGTCGGCACGCCCCGCGCGTGCTTCATGCCCCCATAGGGAGCTTCACCGAATGCTCCAGTGGCACCCATCTCGGCACACCCCTCACACGTTCCGTGGTCCTATGGGGAGTTCCTTTGAAGATGAAGCCCGCAGCTGCGGTACTGACAACTGCATATGGTTGGGTTCTTCGCCAGGCTAATTTTTGAGATTTTTGGTGCCCCCGCGATTTCCGGCAGAATTCCTGGAGATTTCCGGAGGATTTCTGGGAGGTTCGGCTTCGCCACAGGATCTCGGGCGCTGTCGGGTGGTAAGCCCCCGGGGATTTTCGGCACATTCGCTCGGGGAGTTCAGGGTTTTTTCGTCCGGAAGATTTCCTGGAGATTTCCGGAAAATTTCCTGAGATTTCCGGAAGATTTCCGGAAGATTTCCGGAAGATTTCCGTGAGATTTTGTGTTGCCGGGAGATTTCCGGAAGATTTCCGGAAGATTTTGTGTTGCCGGGAGATTTCCGGAAGATTTCCGGAAGATTTTGTGTTGCCGGGAGATTTCCGGAAGATTTCCGGAAGATTTTTTGGAGATTTCTGCCGCCCCCCGGGATTTCCGGAAGATTTCCTTGAGATTTCCGGGAGATTTGCTGGAGAGGTCGCTTGCGCGGCCCCTCCTCCGGACGACTCTCTGGAGATTCATTTGCAGGTCTGTGGAGTGGGCGGATTCCCAGTGCCCCCACATCTCCGCGGGCGGCCCGCATGTTGCCCTTCGCAGGCTCCCTTCCAGCGCGCCCCCGATATTCATTGCTCCGCCGTGTTCCCCGGTGGTTCCCCCCCCGGAGCTTGCCCTCCGGGGGGGGCCATCGGTCGATCCCCGTGGGCCCCCCCCGAAACCCGCATGGATGGCCGTGAGGGTGGCCCCGTTGGGAGTCTTCCCCATGCGCGATGCCCCCCATGACGACATCTTGGAACCTCTTGGGCCGCTCTGGGGGCCTCTTTACTCGTCTTGAGGCTGTTTCGGGCCGTCTTGAGGCAATATGGGTCCGTCTTTCTCTGCATTCTTGTGTTCTCTTCCGCCCCTTGGCACTTCTTGCGTCTTGCGTTCGGGATTTTTGCGTCGACATTTGCCGCGCGGCATCTCGCCACAGAGTGCGACTCATGTCGCGGCCCGTGCGAAGAACAAGTCGCCCTTCCCTGGGCTGGCCAGCCAGGAAAGTAATCTTTTTGGAGTGCCCGCAAGATTAAGAAATCGAGCCCTCCCCTTTTCCTGAGCATTGACATCCAGAAAATTCGCGATACCGATTGTTGTCGTTCAAGTCTTGGGGTCTAGGATAAAGTGGCTGATGCGTTAGCTCCCCAAAAAAGGGAAAGGGGGGCGAACGCATTCTTAAACCGGACGCTGTCCTGCAACCCTGAGACAGGGGGCTGCGAATGTTAGCCTGGTCTCTGCTGCGTTGGGAACCTGTTACCAGGGGCGGGCGTCAGGGCAACTTGTTTCTCAATATCGAACTTGCATTTCGGTTTTCTGACTCGGGTAGAGAAGTGCGGCCGGCACAAGGCTTAAGAACTTCGGTGGTTCGGGGAGGGTACCCTTATGTTCTTCGTTTTTGTTCCATGTTCTTGTGCACCCTGGGGGAGGGTATCCTCGATGTTCTTCAGTTTGGCGCCATTATTCCTTCGTTATGACAAAGCTGGGGTTCGGGGCTCACGATTCGGCTACGAGCGTCCGCGGCGGGGGCGGGACCCTCCATGTTCTTCGGTCCCGAAGTCACGGTGCGGCCTTCAGCAACCGCGTGCCCCTTCATGATGGTGGTGCGATTGCAATCACCCTCGCATGTTCTTAGGGGACTGTTTGGAGTTGGTGGGCTTCGGGCTGCGGGGCTTAGGGCGTGCGGATGCAGGCTTGATTGAGGCTACGTACGCACGTCGGCCGCAGGGCTCGCGCGTCCGCGGCACGGGCAGGACCCTCCATGTTCTTCGGTTTCGATGTCAAGGTGC